CCAACCAACTGAGCCACACTGGCCAGGGCTTCAATAATTTTTTATTGACTGCTAAATATGGAGTTCAGAACAGCAACAACTGAGATTATTTACACTTGGAAATGAGCATGCCTACTCTTCTGTCAAGTGTGGAGGGGTTTAGTCAATTTAGATAGGAATTGAGCCTGACATAGATTTTATAGTTGTCATAGTTACTTTCAGCACACCACGGGGGTCCAATTCTTCTACTGATAGACACCACTGTCAGGTGCTTAAGGTAAGAGATGAGTTTGAGAGTTTTTCTTAATTTTTCTCTCAGCTTTCACCCATTCCTGTATCCTTATATCACAGAGGATCTCTCTCCCTGTTCTTGACCTATACCACCAGCAGTAGAAAGCTTGTCTGTCACCTGGTGGTGGCACATGGAAGAAGCAGGTGGGATTTTCAGTTGTCCTGGTCTAGTGTCAGTATTGGGTAGGCCATGCAGCTCTCCTTCCTATGGCAGCCAAAATCTGCTTTGTATTTGTGTTGGTTTTCAGTGCTACCCTCCCTACTCTTCCTCCACTAGTAAAACACCTCTCCCTAGGTACTGGTGTAGGATACAGGGGCCCAAAATAGTTTTCTGCATCTTGTTCAGAGTAAAGGGTCTTCTTTTCTATAGCAGCAATGCATCTTTGGCGGTGTCCTGGGGATCAGAGGGTTCCTCCCCACTGAAGAAGGATTTTTGCTTCTAATCTCCCTCCAGAAATGTATCAAAAAATGTTTTCTGCCCATCCCCCATTTTTTGAGGCTTAAAGGAGTCTGAGTAAATGGGAGGGACTTTGTGCTTCTATCCAGCAGCCACAGATCACCTCCTTAATCTCTACATGACTGAGTCCCTGAGTCTCCACCTTGTACCCAATCTCAATAGTAAGTATCCTGTTGAGCCCCAAGGAAATGTATTTGAAAGCAAGTGTGAATTCCTCTTTTATCAGAAGCCCCAAGACATTCCAAACTAGTCCATACTTAGTCTTTAAAAATCAGTTAAAATTTCAGCTGATTTCTTCTTATCTACTTTTATTGTAGTCATCTCTTTTTCTTCTGCCCTGCCAAAGATGAAACAAATAATGGCCCATTCTTTGGGGGAGAGGATTGCCAACTCTTTGGAATTTAGATTAATGTACTTGGTTGCTTTGCAAGCTCAGCTCTCTGATGAACTCAGAGAAATTATGACTTTGTAAATCACCCACCTTTTTTATTGTAGGTGAGGGTGAGAGGTTCTGTGCATACTTTTTACATCCTGAGTACAAGTAGAAGTCCCCTTCCACTTTGACTCACTTCCCTTTTCTATCTTTGTAAAGGCATCATCCAGATAAAAGTTTAGAAGTATCTCTGACTTCTCTTCAATGATGTTTAATGTCCAATCACAGTTGATAAAGTCTGAATTAGATAAGACACTAACATCTTTATTAGGATACTTTTTCTCTATTTCTCTAGTATAAATACTTATCATCTTTCAATGGTCTCTTACATAAAACAATATTCCTTCAACCAGCCTCCTAAACTCTGTTTTCTACTTCAAACTGACTTTATCATCAGACTGCCTTACTACAGTATTTCTTTGATGTTATTTTTTATTTATTTATTTTTTTCCAGAGAGGAAGGGAGAAGGGGAGAGGGGGAGAGGGGGAGAGAGAGAGAAAGCAATGACGAGAGAGAATCATTGATCAGCTGCCTCCTGCACACCCCACACTGGGGATCAAGCCCACAACCCAGGCATGTTCCCTGACCAGGAATTGAACCATGACCTCCTGGTTTATAGGTCAACACTCAATCATTGAGCCACGCTGGCCAGGTGCTTTGATGTTTAAAATGAAGGCCACGAGCAATCTGATCCTATTCTGCCTTTATAGGCCACCTTCCTACAGGAACAGGTACTCTATTCCATACTGATCCAGGTTCTCCTTTTAGCATCTGGAAATGTTATCATTCAAGGGACGCTTTCCATGAAAAAACTTCCCTGATCATACAAACAAAATTCAATTGTACACTGCTTTATTTATACTAGAAAAATAACACTTTTAATCATACATATCTCTTACACCTCTCTCCAGAAAGGCAGAGATCAGATCTTGTATCTTCTCTTTTAGCTTTCCTACATATATATTTATTTTGTAAATTAAAATAGCAAAATTAATAAAATGACACTTTCCTTCCCATAACCTATGTATCCTTAATGCATCCCTGACAAGGGCACTAAAAATTTCACCAGCCCACAAAACACTGTTTTTTGAAACGTCTCAAGAAGGAAAAAACACATGCTAAACTATAGTTATTATGACATCCGAGCATTTTCAGAGGATTAGTTTGGGGATTCTTAGCATAAAAACCATTTATACTTAGAGTTAAATCTATGATGGTAATCCCAAACAAAAATATGCTGAGGTCCCTTTATTTAGCTCCACGTAAATAACCCCAAGAGTCACAAAGTTTACTAAGGAAAATCACTGACACTTAAAAAGAAATAAGGACATCTACCTTACTAATTTTGTTAGTGCCTTAACTGGTAATCATATTCAGGCATTTTGCCAAGATGTGAAGGCAACATGCTTTTAGTAAATCATTTTCAATGGGAGGCAAGTGAAGAAAAAGAGTAATATATTTAATGCCTTTTTATAATAGTACTATCAAATACATTTTCAAGAAATAGCATATACAAATCCTATATGTTATTTTAGTGAAAACCAGAGCAGGTACCATTTTTGCCAAATAGCTTTCCTGGCGAGGCTATGTGGCTGGGACCACAGTGGAATCTGAACTCACTTGACTCAGACACCAGAGCAGATGTCTAATATGACATCTTTTTCATGCATTCTTAAGAAATGCAAAAAATGAAAAATGCTTTTCTTGCTAAAAGAAATAAATAATGCACCCAATGGGTATCTTTATCAATTTAACACAGAACTGCTACCCAATAACTCAACTTTTAGTAATTCAATATGAGAAAGTCATATAAAGAAATTCAGGCCCTAACCAGTTTGGCTCAGTGGATAGAACATCAGCCTGCGGACTGAACAGTCCCAGGTTCTATTCCAGTCAAGGGCATGTACCTTGGTTGCGGGCACATCCCCAGTAGGGGGTGTGCAGGAGGCAGCTGATCAATGTTTCTCTCATCGATGTTTCTAACTCTCTATCCCTCTCCCCTCCTCTCTGTAAAAAATCAATAAAATATATTTTTAAAAAAAAAGAAATTCAGCATAGCACTGTTCATGATAGTTAAAAATAGGAAAAACAGTTTAAATGCTAACCAACAGGGAATCTTTTACATAAAATGTATATACACTATTCAGCAATGACAAATGTTGGTGCAGATCTCTATTTACATGGAAAGATGCCACAGCATGCTGCTGCAAAAAAACAGGTTATAATTCACTAGAGGCCTGGTGCACGAATTCGTGCAAGGGTAGGGCATGTCTGGCCCGCCCCAATTGGGGCCTATTGGGGGCGGAGCCGGTGGGGGTTAGGGGATGTGGGCGGTTGGCCGGCCAGCCTGCCCCCTGGTTGAACTCCTGGTCGAGGGGACAATTTGCATATTAGCCTTTTATTATATAGGATAATCACCTGTGTTCACCTGCAGTACTCCTAAGTGACAGGATTTGGAGCATGTGCCAGTTAGCAGTTTATTGCCTCTCAGCTTCAAATTCATACCACATTGCCTGCTCTGCAAAAATAAACCTGCCCCTTTAAATGTTTTTCCTTTGCCAGCTGACACAAGAGTTACACTTTATCAGTACAGGTGCTAGAGGCTACTTCCACCAACACCCCAACCTTCAGGTGGTTTTGTAGCAGAATGACTTCAGTGAGACACCACCTCTGCACAGTAGACACCCCAGCACACTAGTCAACGGGTTTTGAGCAAGTATCCACTGCAAGCAAGACAGCACAGCCACTTCTCTGTCATCCAGGGAACCAAGGCCACACCCTCTCCAACATGGTCTAAATCTCAGCCCCAAGGGATAATCTTCCTGAACTCTTTCTCAGACCTAGGGGTTGTAGCTGCTCCTTCTATCTGCCATTCTTATATTTGTTAAAGTTCTCTTCACTTCTTTCTAGCTAACCCCTTGTTACTCCAATTTCCTGCTAGAGTTAATAATGTTTTTATATTAAAGAATATTTAATACTTTTTAGGTTTTGAAATTACTGTGTTGTTTCCTCAGAATTGACCCTGACTGAAATAGGGTGAGGTCCTCCACCTCTTTTTATTTTTCAACTAGAGGCTTGGCGCACGAAATTTGTGCGTGGGTACGGTCCCTAGGCCTGGCCTACGATCAGGGCCATCTTCCCCAGCTGCCCACAGCTGGCCCCCCCCCCCACCACCACCCACCCCTGGTTCCCTGTTCACCATCGGGTGATCGGTGCCTGACTGCCCGGGGAAGGGACTGAGAGGTTGGCTGTTCCTGCCCGCTCGTCAGCCCCGCCCCCACAGTGGGTGGCCATCAGGCGATTGGAGACTGCTGGCCCGGGAAAGGGACCAAGAGGTGGTCAGTGTGCCTCATAGTGACTGGTCCAGCGGTTGTTCTGGTCATTCTGCCATTAGGGTGAATTTGCATATTACCCTTTTATTATATAGGATGTTGTCTGAATTTATAAAAAGTATTTTTTGCGATAATCATAAAAGGCAAATTTTATTTTGGAAAAATTCAATGCAAAATTAATATTGCTTTTAGTATTCTACTTTAATAGAGTAGGAATATATTTGTGAGATTAAGATGATTGAATTTTGAAGAACATTCATTTTTGTAAGACCGTAATTGTTCAGTTTTCCTTTTTTAACACCAATTTTTTCTCATTATTAGCTAAAATTGTTTTTTTGTGTCATCTTAAACAACAGAAATTATTTAGACAGCTATTTTTTCTCTTGGTTATGCCATATGTTGCCCCTTACAACTAGGTCATTAATTATTAGATATCCTGAAGTGATAGGTACTAGTTCTCAAATATATAGTCTTCCTCTTCCCTCTTATTATTTCAGTCCCTCTTACCATGTTCAAGGATTATCAGTTGGGCTCCAGCTTGTGCATTTCCAACATCATTCTCAGCAATGCATTGATAGAACCCTTCGTCTGACTTCACCAGACCCAAAACTTGAAGATTATGTTCCTTCTGAAGAAGAAAAACATATGTACAATTTTATGATTCAATTGATAAACAGTCCAAAATCCCAAGTATATGCCTTTTCTGGGAAGAAAAAACAAATAAAATTGTCTGATTCAGGTACTGAATAATATCCACCTATGCACATGTTAACTCAATTTTATTGACAAGGTATTGACTCACATTAAGTGCCCAGCCTGTTTTGTCTTCCGGACAGAATGTATAGTGTCAGTCACCGGTGACTGACTGGGCACTTAATGTGTTAAAACAGGAAACACCATCATTAACAATTAAGAATTTAATATTCATGGAAAAGTCGTACCCACAATGTTTGCAAACTTACACCTTTGCTTGGAAAAATATCTGGCATGCAATATCATGTGACTGTAGTGAAAGTCTAAATTTGTGAATTCAAGGCATTTTTTAAATATTTTTAATATCAATATCTCTGATAGATTAGACTATACTAAGTTAAATCAGGTTGCATATACACGAAGCTTTCCTTAAACTATAAAGAAAACTATCCACACTTATATGGATGTCAACTATTGTTACTGTTATTGATATAGTATAATATGGTTTTAAGCTTTTTAAAAATACTAAGAGTAAAAAATGCTACTTTAACCATAAACATTGCTTTTTAGTTATATTTAAATATTATGAATTACTTTTTGTAACTTATGAGTATACATTTTGAAAACAGAAAATATACCCCTACATATATGAGAAATTTATGACAGTAAGTCTTTAACAACCATAATTATTTCTGATTATTTCTATGAATGTCATGTATCTAAAGATACATCATTAATCCTTGTTACTAAAACCTAGATAATCTGATTACTAAGATGTTAGACAATCTTTATTAAAAATGTACTTAATATAAAGTAAAAAGTAGTAATGGCTGAATATTCTTAAATATATTTAACACTCATTATTTGATTTTTGCATTTATTTTCTAAAAAAATCTTCACATATGTTGTCACAATAACTGTCCAACACTGGGTAATACTTATTTTGAAGGGCCTGAACATCAGTATATGAAGGACAGATTTCTGCTCCTTGAGAGACATAAAGACAATTGATGCATGTGCATGCACACACGCGCATGCACACACATAATCATCATTACCCAGAAAATGGTGGCAGCTGTGTTTAACAGTGCTAGAATGTTTAGCAGGAATACTAGACCTAGTACTATTTGCTATGTGATCTTATATAAGCTACCAAAATATTTCTGGGCTCAGGCTTTCCCATCATCCAATGAAGAGATTATATTCTGTGTTAATTTTTCTATCTTTGTCGGCAGTATATAAACTGGTATATATATAAGATACCAAGTCTCTTGATAATTACATTCAAAGACATTTAAAGGTTTCAGAGATAAGTGTCCTTCTTTTAAAAAGTACTTACTACAATCTTAAAGTAATCACTTGGGATAACCATATCCCCATTCTTGACCCACTTCACAGTTGGAGTTGGTTTCCCAGTCACTTCACATTCAAATACAATATCCATAGATTCATGAGCATATATATTAGTAGGCTGCTTCAGGAATTCAGGTTGGGCTTTAAAAGAGAAAGGAAATGAAGATATTAATGAAAATAAAAATAGGTAGTTATTCATATTTCAAGCAATTTTTTTTTAAATCACAGAATTCATAGGTGTTTTACTTATTTGAGGTTTTCACATATTTTTATAAACACCTAAATATATATTTAAAATGTATGTCAGGAACATAATTTCTTTAAAAATTGACATTCTGGTGTAATTAGAAGAATAACTTTAATTTTTAAGATAATTTCTGAATTTTCTTGTTGAGAAATATAGTAAATTGATTATATTGAAGAAATTGATAATATGAATGTTCTAAGCTAAAATGAATATTAAAGGCTATTTCCCTATGATTTATACCATTTTGGAAGGACCATAATTAAAATTCAAAAAAGAGTTGAGAAAACTGACATTATCTTTCTTTTCAGTCAACTTAATGTATACCCCCCCCCCAAAGTAATATAAATGTGATAGTCAGAGACCTTAAAACAGTTCATTTACACAACATACTCCCAATTAGTAACATCCCTCATTACAAGAAATGGTTCTTAAGAATGGGAGGAAAAGTGATAGGATCTTTGGGGAAAGTTAAGTGTATTAGAAAAAGCCTGAATATTGTAGTAACTCCATAACTCCATTTCACCTTGCCCCAAAGTTGTAATCACACACTTATGAATAACATTCATTAAGATTGTGAACCAGAAGGATAAAGTAGATCATCTAATTCAATTTCTCATCTAATGCTGTAATTTCCCACACAACATCTTTGAGAAGAGGTATTTTACTAATCTCTGAAATTTTCAAATGATAAGGAACTCCCCATATCACAAAGCAGCAAGCTCCACTGTAGGCAGTTTCTATTTAAAAAAAAAAAAAAAAAAAGCAGTTGTGTTTTTTTTTAACATTTGAGATAAAATGTACTCAGTCTGCTGGAATTTTGATTGGGATTGTGTTGAATTTGTGGCAACTTGACACTGTAAAATTATGGAGTCTTTTTCCATGAGTATTGTTTAACTCTCCATTTATTTAGATCTTTGGATTCTTTTCTCTCATCAATGTTTTATAGATTTCAATATATAAATCTTGTTCATACTTTTTTAGGTATATGCCTAAATATTTTAAATTTTTGGTGCTACTGTAAATGGGACTTTAAAATTTTTTTAGTTCCCAATTGATCACTGCTAGTATGTAGAGGTGAAAGTGATTTATGTATACCAACCTTTCATCCTATGGTCATACTAAACTCACTCATTAGTTCTAGTAACTTTCTATAGACAATTTTAGGATTATCTACATACATACAAAATGTATTTACAGATAACTATATGTTGTCTGTAAAAAGAGGCAGTTCTATTTCCTAATTTTCAATCTGCTTTCCTCCTTTTTCATTATACTAGCTAGAGTGGGGCAGATCCTCAGAAAAAGTCCAGATTGGCTTTCTAATTTGTGTCAATGAAGAGTAAGAGTCTAGAGAGCAGGTAGAAGCCCAGGTAAGCAGTTCAAGCCAAGAAGGGAAAGAACATTTGATCTTAAGAAGCAATAGAGAAGAGAAAGAAAAAATGGAAGCTGAATAGGCAGACCTTTCTTATTACATCTCCTCCCAGGGCCAGACTGGAAATAAAACTAAAGTGGGAAACATACACCTGGAATTACCAACTGCGAAGGAAACTTATATGAAGGAAGGACAGAAAACACCTGGAGACCAGTTGGAAGGGCAAGGTCGCAAGAGGAGCTGACCCAGCTCCCAGGGGTGGCTGGCCTAGTGTGAGGAGGGAGCTCCCGACTACAGGAAGGTCTGAGGCCCGAACCCAGGCTGGGCTCCACAGCCCCGAGCACCAGAGCCGAGACCAATGGCCTACGTAACAACCAACTGTGAAAGGTGGCAGGGCTGCTGGTCATGGCAGAGTCTGGAGCCGGTAGAAGTAGACCACAGCCAGTCAGAGAGAAGGCTGCAGTTTCTTTTTTTTGTTTTTTTGCGTGTTTTTTTAAATGCAGAGCACAAGAGCCTTCATTTGTAGCTATTGAAGGCTTCGATGCAGGGATGGAGGAATGGACTTAAGGTGCCTAAGGAGAGGCCTGAGTGGGAAGCATTAGGGGAAGATGTGGAAAAGCAGCAGCCAGGAGTCCTGGCATTTGGTCATATGCCCCCGAACTGAAATGCCCATTTTTCCTGAATAGCAGCAGGAGAGAAACAAAAGAGAAACCCCGCCTGAGGTGATACAGCCCACCCCACCCTCTGGAGCCCTGCTAGCCACACCCTGCATTTTGACCTTTGCAGAGGTTAAGTCCATGAGTTTGAACAGTCTCAGGAAGCAGCAGTGACTGGATTGGGGGAGGGGCCATCCACCCCACCATCCTGGGAACTTGACTGGTAATTTCTCCACACAGGAGAGCTGACAGAAACTCTAGGTTTCTAGCCGATCCCACTGGACTCCATACAAGGATCTCTGCCCAGCCTAGGACAGGGAAATATTTTGGGTCACTCCCAGAGGAGTAGCTCTGGGACAGGGAAACACACCCACCACATTCCCTGAAAGCTAAATAGCACCTCCCCTGCCTAAAGCACTTTCAGAAACTGACTTTTGAGTGATTAAGATTGACAGCTGACTAGCAGGCAGAAGTGGCTAGCAGGCAAATAGGCGGGGCACAGGGAAACGGGAAGTTTGCTGACCCAACCCTGGGCCCATGCTGCTAACACACCTATTTTAGAGGGCCCTCCTGCTTGCAGCCAAGTCCAGTGGAGACATACACAAATGGTGGATCACTTGGAACTTCAAGCAGATTGCTGAAAGCCAAAGGAGGGCAATTTCTGACAGTGGTTAGCACTTAAGTACCTCACAGGAAGCCCAGAATTGGTAGACAGACAAGTTAGCCACAGTCATAAGACTAGGATTCAAAGGGGTCCCCACGGGGAACTAAACTACCGAAATGAGTGCCGTTTCACTTTTTTTTTCTTTTTTCTTCTCTTTGATCATCTTTTTCTTTTATTTTTTTATTTTTATCGTTCCTTCCTTTTATTTCCTTTCTTAATTTACCTTCATCTATCTGCTTAACTGATTTTTTATTATTCTAGTCTCTATTATTTCAATCATATATCTAATTTTCCTATTCCCTTATCCTATTCCATTTGTTATTCTTTTTTCTTTTTTTCACTACTCAATTTTTTTTCCCTTTCTTCCTCTCTCTGCTTTTTCTCATGCTTTTTCATCTTTATTTTTCTTTTCTTATTATAGGTCTATCTGCCTTCTCCTTTATTTTCCATTTCAAAATTTTTTTTCATTTTTCTTCCTCCATTATTTTATTTTATTTATTTATTTTTTAAATATATTTTATTGATTTTTTACAGAGAGGAAGGGAGAGGGATAGAGAGTTAGAAACATCGATGAGAGAGAAGCATGGATCGGCTGCCTCCTGCACATCCCCTACTGGGGATGTGCCCGCAACCAACGTACATGCCCTTGACTGGAATCAAACCTGGGACCCTTCAGTCCGCAGTCCGACGCTCTATCCAGTGAGCCAAACCAACTAGGGCTCTTCCTCCATTATTTTAAACCGTTTTTCTTCCCCCTATTCCTCTAATTCTTTATTCTTATTTTCTTTATTTCAGCTTAGCATCTACATATTCCTTCCGCCCTTTTACTTGTTGTTTTGGTTTGTGCTTTTTTGTGTGTGTTTGTTTTCAGCTCATATTTTTTTCTTTTTTTCTATCTTTCTTGTTCTGTCTTCTCTTTCCTAATTCTCTCTTCCCTGGTGGTTGCTTTTGTTGGTGTGGCAGGGGTCTTGTGTATGTTTTTGTTTTGTTTCTTATTTTGGTTTGTTTGGTCAGTACCTCCACAAGAGCTCGAAGAGTGTGGTAAGGGGTGAGCCTCACAGTCAGCAAGGCTCAGAGAAGATTCCATCTTAAAAAACGGGGTAATATTCATGACCCAATTACAACCTAAGAACCCAAATAACTCAAACAAGGGTCATCTAGAGCCCCCAGCTCGGGTAATCTAAGAGACTGTACCACTGGGTCCCAAGACCAACCCACAAAGTCTGGGAGGCAAAGTAGTTTGATCTAATACATAGAAACAAAAACAAAGGAACATAAAAAATGTGGAGATGAAGAAACAACCCCTAAATGAAAGAAAAGGAGGAATCACCAGAAAAGGAACTGAATGAAATGGAGGCAAGCAATTTGTCAGATAAAGAATTCAAAGTAATGATAATAGGTGTTCTCAAGCAATTCAGTGAGAACTACAAGCAATTAAATGAGAATTATAAGGGACTTAATGAGAGCTACACCAACATGAAAAGACAGGTTGGAATAATAAATAAGAATAAATTGGAAATGAGGAATGACATTGCTGAAATAAAGAACACCCTAGAACAGTGATGGAGAACCTTTTGAGCTCGGCGTGTCAGCATTTTGAAAAACCCTAACTTAACTCTGGTGCCGTGTCACATATAGAAATTTTTTGATATATGCAACCATAGTAAAACAAAGATTTATATTTTTGATATTTATTTTATATACTTAAATGCCATTTAACAAAGAAAAATCAACCAAAAAAATGAGTTCACGTGTCACCTCTGACACGCGTGTCATAGGTTCGCCATCACTGCCCTAGAAGGATTCAATAGTAGACTAGAAGAAGCTGAGGACTGAATCAAGGAATTAGAAAACAAGGTAGGAAAAATCACCCATTCAGAAAAGCAAATGAAAAATAAAAATAAAAAGCAAGAGTATAAGGGAGCTTTGGGACAACTGAAACATAACAACATTTGCATCATAGGGATACCAGAAGTAGTAGATTCTAGAAAGGAATAGAAAACCTGATGAAGAAATAATGGCAGAAAATTTCCCTAACCTGGTGAAGAAAAAAGTCATTCAAGTTCAGGAAACAAAGAGAGACCCAATCAAGATGACCCCCAAAAGATCCAAACCTGGACACATCATAATTAAAATGGCAAACATTAAAGACAAAATAAGAATCTTAAAGGCTGCAAGAGAGAGACAGAAAGTTACCTACAA